AAGCCGAGCTCAAGCTTATGAACTCTTGACTTGAGCCGAGCTCGAGCTCGAGCCTTGTAGAATAGTCTCGAGCCGAGCTCGAGCCTAGTACTATTCGGCTCGAATCCACCCATAGCCTTAGCCATTTCCCTGATCTCATATTTAGAGTGAAAAAACATACCACTTTAAGGAAAAACCAAACTAGAAGAGGAATGCTTTAAGCTAGGGCTAGCAATTTTGACACCAACCCACTTGGCCCACCCAAACCCACCCATTTGAATAGTGGGTTAGGGTTGATTGGATCAAGGATTACCCATTGACCCTTTCTTTGGGTTGGATTTATTCTCCTCAAACCATCCCTCTCCCTCTCATTCTCTTTCATGTCGTCGCCACCAATCATCCCTCTCTTCCTCTCTCTCATGTTGCTGATCACCCCTCCTTGGCTCCTGCCTCTCTCTTGCCCAGATCTTTGTGTGAAGCCGACCACCGCACTCTCTCTCTCTCTCATGTTGTCAATTACCCTTCTTTGCTTCTCTCACCCAGATCTTCGATTAAAGCCAATTACCGCACCGATTTCTCATATCTATTTGCCTAGATCTTTGATTAAAGACGATTGTTGCACCGATTTCTTAGATCTATGGAAGGTGAACGCTGCACCATCACACTCTCTTTGATATTGAAGATGGCTATTGCATCGACTCCTTAGATCTATGGAAGGTAGGCATTGCACCAGGCATCACCCCTTTCCCTGTCTCAGATATTGAAGTTGGTTGCACCGATTTCTCATATCTATTCGCCTAGATCTACAATTAAAGACGGTTGGTGCACCGATTTCTTAGATCTATCAAAGGTGGATGTTGCACCATCGCACTCTCTTTGATATCGAAGATGGCTGTTGCATTGACTCCTCAGATCTATAGAAGGTAGATATTGCCCCAGGCATCACCCCTCTCTCTCTCTCTTAGATATTGAAGTTGGTCGCTACATCACCACCACCACCCTCTCTCTTGATTTGAATTGGCAAACACACAACTACACTCTCTTCCTCACTTAGATCTCTAGGATGAAGATTCAAATCTTGGAGCCCATCTGTCGGAGTAATACATTGTGTTTCAACCTGATATTGTCATTGTTTTAGGGTATTATGATAAAAAAAATCAATTACTGAAGCTAAAAAAATGTAAAATTTCCATTTTACATGAAAAAGTTTTTTATTTTTTTACATTGGTGCGATCTAATATGAATATTATCAAATGACAAAATGCCATGAAAAAACTTTTGATTTTTTTCTAATATGATTTTTTTTTGCAGTTTCTGATTTTTTCCAAAATATTCCTTTTGAAAAATTTATCATTTTCTTGTTTTTTGCATTTCTTTTACTTTTTTGCTATAATATATAGATTTTTGAATATTCTATCATTTTATGTATTTTGTAGTTTCTGTTTTATCCAAAATTTATATTTTTTTGAGTTTTTTGTCTTTTCCAATTTACTTGTATTTTTTTTGTTGTAATTTCTAATAATGTTCATCATTTCTTGTGTTTTTATGTATTTTATATTTGAAAATATTTTTGAAAATTTTATGTTTTTTCATATCCTTTTAGTTGAAATATATATGTGTATTTACATTTTTCTGTAATTTTTTTTTGCAAATTTTTATAATTTCTTGTATTTTTTACAATTTCTAGTGTTTTACATGAAATATATATTATTTACCATTTTCTGTGTTTTTATAGGTTTTTACTTTTTATTTGAAAAATTGAAACTTTTTATATTCGTTTATTCTATGTTTTTATGCAATTAAAATAGAAAAAAAAACCTACTTTAAATTAGAGGGTCAAATGAAGATGAGTGAGGGTCAGAGTGGCAAATGGATTAGCGGGTCAATATGGTGGGTTCCCTAGCCCAACCCACCCATTTGCCACCCTACTTTAAGCTCCGTAAGGTCTCAAGCAAGTCAGCACGAGAGAGAGAGAGAGAGCCTTCACTGTTCGCCTTCGCCATGGTAAATTTCCATGCTCCTATCTGAAAAATCTCTTGTTTCCGTTTCCCTTTTTCCTAAGCTACCAGTCGAGTCCGGTCGTATTGTTTTGGGTTTCTATTTTCGTAGGGTATTCGTGATTTTCGATTTTACCCATGGTCGATCATTGGAGTTTATTTGTTTTGAATTCCAATCCGAGATTTATCTGGAAAATATGCTCAGGGTTTCGTCATTGTTACTTGCTCTCAAGCTTTAAGAATTTGAAGATTGCTGTGATAATGAGTTCTTGCTGTTTTTTGTATTGTTCATGTTTTAGCGCATCAAATTGATGCCAGTATTTCGTTTGTGCTTTTATGTGGAGAAATTTGTGTCATTCTTTTGGTCAGCTTATTTTTTTTTGTGCTTTTAATGTTCCATAGTTTGATTTGGAAGAGAACTTGCAACCCAATCAAAGTTGAAGCAAACAAATGATCCCCTTCTTCCTCCCTTTTTTGCTTCGCTTTTGGGAGTGGAGGCCTTCGATTTCCTTCTATAGTTATTATTTCTCTTAATCAAGTCTATATAAGCACAGTAACCATCTTCTTTTTCCCTCTAAGAATTTATTCGATTATATTTGGTTGAGCTTGAATATTTTTAGGATCACTGAACTTTAGTGTATTTTGCATGTTTTTTCTGTTGATTTTGTTAGGTGCTTCTGCAGCCGGACCCGTTTCTTAATGAGCTCACAAGCATGTATGAGCGTACCACAGAGCGTGGCTCTGTCTGGGTCACCTTGAAACGCTGTAAGTATATTCTACACGATGTTTGTATTCCTCATCCTTTTGTGAATTTTCCCCTTATGTTAGATAAACGAAATGCACTTATCTTTTGTTGTTTAATTCCAACTCGTATTTGTGTCTATTAGCATCCATGAAGTCTAAGGCAAAGAGGAATAAAATGACAAGTGCGGGTGAAACAATTGAATATCGATGCCTTGTTCGAGCTACTGATGGCAAAAAGACCATCTCCACTGTGGTATAGTTTCTGTCTGTTCCTTTTTCTATTTTCTTTTATTTCTTTTATCACTTTGTCTGCAGTTATTTTGTTTTAACGTTGAGCACACTCCTATTCTCATGTTTACCATTCAATGATTAAATAAACTATATTTAGCATTTAATAATTTGTTAATATTGCAAAGAACCATGTGCACAAACCATATATTTTACCATGGTCCAGCTGAGCACTTTCAAAAAATTGTTGTCACTTGTCACAAGTTATTGGAGAGTTCGGGGAGATTGAAACTTGCTAATCTAAATTGGAGGGTTGAATGGTCATTTAAGCAAAATTCTAAGGCTTATTTTAAAATTAGATTTTGGTTTGCATTTTGAGCAGGTTAGTAATTTCTTTTGGAGCAAGCTAAAGGCTATGTAGTATATATAGGGTTTTCCATGAGAAGAATTATGGTTTTTAATTTTACCGAAACTTCAGGACATTTTGGTTGCTTTTTGGCCAAGTACAATTGAAATCCTAAATTTTTGGTCTTTTCAACTTTTATTCAAAATTAATGAACTTCAATGAAGTTTTGGCTTATTTCACCAAAAAATTGTCAAACACTAATGAAAGAAAATAAAAAAAAATACAAGTTCATAAGACTTTTGTTTGGAAAAGTTACATCTCTAATAATTCTGCAATTACTAAAACTCCCCCATCTTTTTTTGGTAGGATTACCTTTCCATCATTCCACCATTAGTTGCAGTCTTCTTATAAGAGAAAAATGGATCTAAATATTTTGTAAAACTGAAAGTTTCTCCTGCTAAGATAGCAGATAGTGTGTCAATTGCTGAGTTTTCTTTTCTTTTGTGAAAAACTGCTGAGGTTGGGTGTTGGGGGGGGGACTGCATTCCCAGAAAAGGGATCAATTCTTTGACATTCTTTTCAGGCTACATTCTCTATGGATATCATACAGAAGCAAGTTTAAATGCAGCACTAACAATGCTATGAATGGTTTTCCTGAGGGAGAATAGCCACTCCAAGAGCATTGCACAAACCCATCAAAGTAGTATATGCATCAGGAGTATTTTGGGAACTGGTGTAATGTGGTAGTTAAAGGGCTAAAACTGGTGGTAAAAGAAACAGATCACTTGCTGGAGAGATGGAGGGTTTTGTGGAGGCAACAAGGTGGAGGAAATCCTTGAATGTGGAGGCTAAAGACTTTATCTTCAAAGAACTAAGAATCAAGGGGCACTACAGCTTGAAGATAAGGGAGGTGAAGAAGGCCACAGTTCTAGTGGAAGGCTTAGAGTAAATAGAATGGTTGAAGGATTTTTTGCACGAAGCAGCAACAAAAGGAAAACAGATATGCTGGAAGGAAAATAACACAAAATCGGGCAGAAGATATGTTGTGGAAAGTAAACAGAATGCTAAAGGTTCATTCGTATCTCTTTCAGAGTTCTTTGACAAAGGAAGGAAACAAATGGTCTGTTTCCCTGCAGGGGAAAATAGTCAAGGATGGCGAGGAGTGACTGAGATCTTGACTGGCTTTATAGATCAAAGGAACCCAGAGATGAAGGAGATGGTGGAAGCTGCAGAAGTAGATAAGGGTCTTTATGGGTGAAGTCATCAGTGATGGAGGGGGAGACTCCCAACCGGGGTTTTCTAGCCATGGCAAACAGTAAGAGTAATCCAATACTGAAAACACATTTCAGCAAAAATCACTGGAACAATATGTTAGTGGTTGAAGCAAAGAATCTGATTATAGATTGGAGGAGGATTGCAGACATGTTGATTTGTAAGTTGGGACTAAGGAAAACAGTCATATTTACCCCCTTCGAAAAAATGTAAGGCAGTGCTAGATCCTCTTGAAAACATGTTGGATGTTGAGGCTCTAAGCATTCAAGAGGGCAAGGAGATCTTCACTGTGTACAGATGGTCTTCCAGTCTTCCTCTTCTAATTCAAAAACTTTTTCCATTGAAGATGAAGTGATAGTCAGGGTGATTGGGTTGCCGTTCCATCTTTGGAAACATGAAGTAGCAGTCTCCAATCTCCTTTGCTTTGTTGTGTGGAGCTCGTCTGGTGGGGGAATTTTGGGGAGATTTGAGATTTGCTGCTTTGCTGTTAGATGGAGTCAAACTAGAGGAGATACGTAGGAAGGTCGCTCTTCAGGTTGAAGGACTGCCATTACAGGTGTGATTAGCTTCTTCCATTGAAGCTTCTCTATGGTCAGAGGCTAGATAGGAAGAATATGTACGGTGGAAGAACAAGCCCTACATGGATGGCTAGGATTGGAGAATCATAAGATGGAAAGTTGCACTATAATAGGCAAGCAAAACATCGGCTACTCAAAAGATATGGGCAGTAAGGAAGGTCAAATACGTGGGACACAAGGCAAGGGCCTGACAGTAAAAAGATCTTTTACTCAGGTGCTAGTCTCTGGTGCCAAAATTATGAATGAGCTAGACCAGTTAGTTTTAAAAGAAAAAACCAGATTGGATAAGGAAACCAAACTGGCTCTTGAGAGAGTTGAGCCGTTGGGTCAAGCTGAGGGGGGTGGTTCCTTAAAAAATCACGTGACTGAGCAATTAAGTGGGGCTGGGCCTATTATTTCAATTGAGCCCTCTCAAACAGGAAAGTCTCTTAATGGGATGAAGGAAGCTGGCCCATATTTTAAGTTATCACATGCATCTTTAAGAAGATGTGACCGAGGAAGGATCGATGTTAGACAAATCTAATCGTCTCCATTGTGCTCTTCCATCTCTACGAAGAAATTCAACCAGAAATTAGGGTTGTTATAGTGGGTTCCCTCGAAGACACTGTCGTGACTCTCCAAAGACTGGCACAATCCAAGATCAGTTCGATGAAGCGACCTTGAAAACTGTGGAGAAGATCTGCCAACTGAAGCTGAAAGTGACTCAGATTCAGATATAGACAGCACGATCAGTATAGGAAGCTTAAATCTGCAAGATTCGAAGGATTTGTGGGAGGAAGAAAGTTTAAACATTGTTGTTCTGTTCCCAAATGAGGAAATATGTGTTTCGGAAGGATGTGGAAAAGGGGAGGAGCGGAATAAAGCGGAAGATAAGGCTGAAAAGTTAAAACTCGAACAACCGATGCACCACACAAGGATGATGGGAATTTAGCAGCAGCTATAGAGAATGGTCAGGGTACAACTCTTCTTGCAAACAAATCCTTTCTAGAAAACTGGCATTTAACGATGTTCGGTTTGGAAGGGCAGGATTATACTCTAAAGGTTAACAAGAAAACACTCAGAAAGGAAAATGCACCAAAGCTTTCTTCATCTGTAGGGATTGAAAAGGTTTTGATTGAACCAAGTTTATCTCAACAACCAAATCAGAAAGAGGGAAGGATCTCTAGTCAAAATTCTGTTAATGATATCCCAACACAACTTGTTGACCATTCATCTCTTGCTAGGCCAAGTATGTTTGTCCATTCGGGTTTTGTTACTAGTCTAGGTTTTGTGCTTGAAACAGGTATCCTGGCATCATAACTAGAGAGAACAGCCGGAGGTGAAGGAGTAGAAGTTGAAAGGGTGAGGTTTGAAACAGAGGAAGAAGTTTCATTGTTAGAAAAAAAGACAGGTGGAGGAAGTGGAGAGAATTTGGGAGCAAATCTATGTTTTGTTGGAAGAATATAAACAGATAGAAGAATTGTTGGAGGAAACACCAAAAAACCAGAACCCCTAGGGAGCAATTGTTGTGAGAAGAAAGGAAGAGGTAAATCTAAGATGCCAGGAAAAGAGACAATTAACAAAAGCAAAAAGAAAAAGAAAAGGTCCGAAGTGGAAAGACTAATTTCAGACATAGAAGGGGACTTAGAATTTAGTGGAAAGAGGGGAGAGGAGGAAGACTCCAATGTGAAGGAAAGAGGGTTGTGGAGGGTCTCATTTTATAACCGAGTTGATGAAGATCATTAGCTGGAATGTGAGGGGTCTAGGAAGTGCAAGGAAAGAAGGTTGATAAAGGATTTGTTGAGGAAGGAAAGGCCTGACATTGTATTGATACAGGAAACCAAACTAATAGATCTAGATTGAAGATGAGTTAGAAGCATGTGGAAAGCAAGAGTGAGTTGGTGTCAACTCCCTCTTGGGGAGCTTCTAGGGGTATAATTACTTTTGGAGAGAGGATGTGGTAGAACATTAGAGGAGATGATAGGTAACTTTTCTGTATCCTTAAGTTCAGGATGGTGGAGGATGGCTTCACATGGGTGTTAACCAATGTGTATGGGCCGGATAATTACAGAGCGCGAAATGAATTGTGGGAAGAGCTCTATGGAATTCAAGGATTATGGAAAGGCCCTTGGTGCTTGGGTGGAGACTTCAATGTAACAAGGTTTCTAAATGAGTCAAACAATGCCCAACAATCTATCACAACTAGTATGTGGAAGTTCAATGAATTTATCAATAGTTGTAATTCGAAAGAGTTCCCTATTCTACAAGCCAACTTTACTTGGTCCAATTTCTAGGAGAATCCATCTTGTTTAAAACTAGATGGATTCCTTTTCAATGAAAGTTGGGAAGCACACTGGAGGGGTTTGGTGGCTAAAGCTCTGCATAGAGTTACCTCAGATCACTATCCCATAGAGCTAGGCCAAGAGACCCTTTGGCTTGGAACTAAACCTTTTAGGTTTGAGAACATGTGGTTGACACACTTGAACTTTGTGCATAAATTTGAGGAATGGTTGAGAGAAGAGATTAGGGGAGTGAAGTGGAAAGGGGTTAGATTTCATAAGAAATTAAAAAGTTTGAGATCCAAAATAAAAGATTGGAATAGGGAGGGATTTGGTAGATTGGAAGAGCTAAAAGCCAGGTTGTCATTCCAAATTGAGGATTTAGATTCAAAGGAGCATCAAAGGACCATGAGTGCACAAGAAAGAGAATTGAGATGGAAGTTGAAGAAAGATTTGGAAGAGGTCCTGTTGAGGGGGGAGATATCTTGGAGGTAAAAAACCTAGGCACAAATGGATCAAATAAGGGGATGGGAATACCAAGTTCTTTCATGCTATGACCAATGGGAGAAGG